GGCAGTCGGAGGCTAGTCAAATGTCTTATGCTGTCCACCTCCTATAATACGACGTTGGAAAGCAAATAAGCTAGAAGTGACTAGTTTAGCAAACCAACACAGGCAAATGGCACAAACCTTTCAACAGTTTCCATTTTCAATTAACTACGACTATTCTTCCCATCTGGATAATTACTAAGGTAACTGTCATTCGCATGGTATGTGATAACGCCCTTTTAACTATGGCTGCTTTAAAGTCGTATTGGAACAGCATAATGCGCCTATACAATACGCGTTTCTTTGTCTTTTGTCAGGCAGTGACTTTGAGGAGAACCTGTCAGCTGTGGCCGTAAACTCCACCGCCATCGAGGTATCCTGGAAGCCCCCAAAACACGTGGCACCGGATCTCGTCTACAGGTTGACGGTGGGTACGCACGCCACGGAAATCAAGGAACGCGAGTTTACTGGTTTATACGTCATGGGTGGTTTGACACAAGACACAAATTACAAGGTGTCTGTCTGTCTCGTCTTCAGGATCCCTGATTCTTTGGCGCCCTGCCTCACGACATATGTGAGCACACGCTCATGTAAGTGCGCATGTGGTTTTATCTAGTAAAAGCCAATCCCATGCATAGACAGACATTTATTACTGGCTAAATGTTTTGGTCCACATTTCTCTATTGCCTCAATTCTCCTGCTTTCATGGCGATTCCGAATAACAAAGCTGCTTTCAGAAAAGAAAGCTGAATTTTGCACTTACAATTTGACAGCTGTTGATATCACGACAACTTACATTCCTGTGCAGGTTTCAACTACAAGCAGTATTCTTACTGCTTGCCAATAAATTTGCTGCAATAATACCTGGTGGTCATATAGCCTTAACCGCAAAGAGATTTCTGGAGGAGACCCCGAGGACCGGAATCCCTCGTTGCTCTATCACGGAACAGTAGAACTTTTAGCCTAACATCCACTATGGCCTTTAGTTAGCATCCATGTCGGCAGTACGGCATAATGACATCACCATGTGAAATATATACTACTTGTAGAACTATTTTTCGTAGGATCAGCATTGTTTGTTTTCCGACAGAACTTTAATCTCTCGAACTTAAAGTACCGCATAAATTTCGTGTCTCTTCGAAAAATTCGTGTGCTTTTGACGTACGTTATCATTTCATCATTATTCTCTTGAAGTCATATATCCGAAACCGCAAAGAAAGATGTCGGGCAGCCACTGTGGGAGAGAGGTACTCGCTATTGTATTAAGCAATGTCATAAAACATCGGCAAAACACTTGTCTGGGCTTTGAGCTAGTACATATGTGCGGGAGTATGGTTTAATATTCGTGCCATGTGGTAGGACGTCTTGCTTGTAGACGCTGTTTGTGTGGTGGCTGCTCAGAAGCTGTTTTTCTTCGACCACCCTGTTCGTAGACGATAGGTGTCTGACCATATGTGATCACTTTCCGTAAACAGTTAGCTCTTAGAAAGTGCTTTGATTAGATATTCGGCTGACGAACTTCTGCGTACATTAAGTTTTCCAAGGTAATATCACAATGAAATTTAATTATTTTGAGAATTTATTGAAGTTTTCTAAAAACCGGCGATTTTTAATTTTACTGGAGATGAAATAGCATTCCTTTCTCTTTATAATGGATTATTTTTCGCATAAAAGGATTAATTCCATTTTCTGATATGAATTCGAAAAAAAACTGGCCATATCAACTGCCATATTTTGAAATTCTTATTTTTCTTCTGTCTGTTCCGTTTCTTAATAGCGCAAAAGGGGAACATAACGTACAGGAAAACTATATTTTTACATAACTTCCATTTAGTAAGGCCTTCTTTGTCTTAAATTCGCGTTATGATGTTGGACATTTCTCGTTTGCTCTACGATATTTGGACATTATTTGTGCCTTAAAACAAACACTTCTCTGTTACTGCATTTTTTGCGAAAAAAGTTCTTAGGGCAGGTAAAAATATTTTTAAAAATACAAATCTGCAATATAACTGCAAATAAATTTAATCCCTTTACCTTGGCCTCACTTGAATCTGAAAAAATGTTCGACAAACTTTTCCAGTTCTGGAAGGGATATCTTCAATACCCATTTTGCTTATTTTTCAGTTCCTTCATTGTATACTCAACATTAACGAGTATTTTGATTCTCTATTTCGTAAAGGCATAGGAAATTCCTTCGATACTAGACTACTTTGAACTTCCCCAAAATTAATGGCCATTCGTCTTAAAAAAGCTAACTAAAATGACGATTTTACTAACTAAAGTCTTTCGCGGAATTCAATAAACTTAATGAATCAAAAAGTGTTACTAAGCACACGCTAAAGTACCAAGTCAAATTTCCTCATGAAAGGTGCATGGTCTTTGGCGACTTCAGTACAATATAGGCAGAAATACTTTATTCACAAAGCAAACGGATAAAGGAATAAACATAGGCCTAAGTGGGTAAAGACGCTAAAGGCTCAAATGCCTAAGGACTCAGGGGATGCGGACGTTCTTTGGGAGATCTGGGTTCCAAAGTCTGTACCATCACCTCGCTTAATTCTGCCTGCGCTAAAGGATTCGCGATGCGATTCTATTTGCATCTGCTATAGGCACTGGACTACTGTTGAGATAGAAAACACTTCGTATATATAAATTGAGCCCACATCGGCGACAGATGCGACGAAAATCTGCAAGTTAGTATACCCACTCGGGGTCTCCTCTTAGAACTTGCATACAAAAGTCCACTTCTCAGTGACTATTCACAGTAAAACAGCAGTTGCCTAATGTGTAAGCGTGACAGAAAATGAACACGTACATTGGCAACTCCATCTTTCGAATTTTAATTAAGTATTTTACCAATGCATGTCTTCCTAATTTATTCGTTTCCAAGGTTAAGTCGGGTAAAACTTAGCACGCGTAGCCTTCTCGTTCACTTCACTACCATTGCAAAGGAAATAATTGTATTTTTTATTTATAGTGAAGCCTGAGGGCTAGATTTTACCATACTGCCTTTACGCGAACCGACAAAATGTCAACAATATAGCAGACTTAAAACGAAAACTCCATTGAAATATGGTTAGTGCCCAATAGAATGGCCTCGTCAATACTTAAACATTTTGAAAGCGGTTATTGTGTTATCCGTTTGTAAGATAAATTAGCATTTGCTCCACTTTGCATTCGCCTTATTGCCAAGACTCCTAATAGGCATTACATGATAATATATGATGCGCAGACGTAAGTTTAATAAAATATTCAAATATAGCAGAAATAATTTAAGGTTATCACTCCGTCAGTAGAGTTTGGCGAAAGTGATGATCCGTATTGCTTGTTGTCTAAAACAATGCTAAAGCACATAATCTGGAATGACCATAGTTTACTGTTCCGAGTAAGTAATGCACATACAATTTACACAAATATATGAATCCCGATCTCTATTCCTAACAAATTTGAATACCGACTGTAAGTGTATGCAGTCTGATGGTCAAAAATATTTTTTTTGTTTTACCTTTAAGCGGGCGACTGTCCTGTTGGAATGAGGCTGGTTCCGTTGAGTTCTACAGTCGTAAGAGTGGTTTGGGAACGTCCAATGAGCAAGAATCACACATTTGACGACTATCGACTGAATATATCAAACGGAATTGGCAGCCGATTGGTGGGCGCAGGCGGCAGAATCCTAGTCAAAGATCTTATGCCCTCCACCTCCTACAAAATGACTTTGGAGGCCAAATATGCTGGAGATGAAAAGTTCGGGGAACCATTACGGGGAAGCGTGACAACCCCTCCAACCGGTTTTATTTTCATTTTACTACGTTACATTATTTACTTAAATGTGATTTTGAGCGTAATATAAGTAACATAATCAACACTGCATGGAAACCATCGCCACTCGGAAAGTGTTTACCCTACGTCCCGCAAGTTGCATTGTGCAAAGTAAAATAAATAAGTCCTTAAGAGAAAGCATATTTTACCAAAAATTATCCTTTATTGTCTGTGAATTAATTTTAATTATAAAAGTTACATAGGTGTACGAATGTATGATAAAAGGACAAAATAATAAAGAATGATAAATATGCCACCTAATAACGCTTTGTCAGGTGACATTTTACATTCAGAGGAACAGAATATTGCGAGGGTATAGGGACGAGTATGTTGCCAGTTCTGGTCTACAATATTAAATCATATTCTTAAGGTAGATTACAATCATAGCGCATTTGATTGGTGAGCAGACGCATTACTCGTAGCATAACAGTATCCACACGACGACTGTTAATGATATGATAACCAAAGGCACCTTTTACAATGTCAACATTTACCTTGTTGTTAACGTTATTCTTTTTCGACGTTCAGCTAGGTCGTTTACCGTCCAAACCACGAGGCGTTGGCAGTTCGTTAACACTGGTATCGACAAGGTATTTTCGTTGGGGAAGATATTTACCCATATGACGGCCTTGCAGACTTGTCTAAAGATAGTACTTAATCACACTAGTAAATGCTAATAGTTATGACCCGCCTTGGTACTTCTAATTGCACGAACCGGTACCGCAAAGAGCCCGTAAGAGAGACAGTTAGAAGACCAGTAGGCGGGACAAAGAGCCTACTCAGAAAAGAGCACGGTACAGCACGTTAATGCAAGCAAGCGGCCCTCGCGAAGCCGTTGAGTGTGTTGTTCATCATGGGACGTTCGGCGTCCCAACACTAAACTAATATGAAGGTCTGTGCTTAACAGACGCAAAAGGATTCTAATAGTGGCCACTGGCTAAGGATCAATAATTGTACGACTATCGACGGAAAATCACGGGCGGCCTTCTAACCCATATGGTGAGCGCAATCGGCAGTCACAGATCTTGCACAATCCGCCTTCTATGAATTGACGTGGGAGGCAAAACATGCTGTAAATGATAAGTTTGGCGATCGACCACGGGCAAATGTGACAACCCCCCCCACCCCCAGCAGGTTCACATGTCCATCTTTCTATTCTTCAGCATTTCGATTGGATATCTGGCAGTTTTACCGTATTGCGCATAATATGAGATATTGCCTATTGAAAAAAAGCCTGTGGGGTCTATGATTCGCACATCATATGATGCCTATACAATTTGTGTTTATTCATCCCTTTTCTGTTAGGAGCTAACCTACCGACAAACATCACAGCTTGGGCCGTTAACGCCACCGCCGTCGAGGTCCGCATGGATCTCCCGAAATACGTGGTCTCAGATGTCTTCTATATGATAACAATGGGTACCCAAGTGACAAAATTCTCCGCATACCAGTTCGCTGGCGTATACACGATGGGTGGTTTAGCAGAAGAACCAACCGACAAAGTTACTGTCTGTCTCGTCTTCGAAAACCCCGATTTCTCGGCGGGCTGCATTGAGACAATTGTGCGCACACACTTAAGTAAGTGTGCCTGCGGGGTTTAATATAGAAACCAAATTCCCCAAATCCTTTATAAACGAGATGTGTTCCGTCTCTTGTAAAATGTCAAATAGGATGGCCTTATTAACACTGATATATTTTGAAAAAAATATTTATACACTATATCCGTCCGTATGGTTAACCTCACACTAGGTCAACTGTGTGTTCAGTTTTTCTTTAAAATTTTAAATAGGCACGCAATGTGATTATCGGTGGCCTGCTGTAACAGTAACACACCGAGAAACATTCATAACTTTTTTTTCACGATGTGACCATCGAAGGACTGTTGTTGCTGCATGATAGTCAGTAAAGTTTTCGCGATGATAGACATTATGAGTGTTCTGACGCCACGTTGTAGATTTGACAACTGGCATTGTCGCCAACGAAGTAAAGACTCCACGGTCGTGTGATGGGTGGTGGGATCACGACACTTTCGTAGAACAGCCATTGTTCCGCGGAAATACACACGGTAGAATGTTCGGCATTCATTTTTACCATGTCCGAGGAACCACCTCGCTTGCATGCATAATTTGTGTAGTGACTTCCAATCTAGATTTGTGCCGTTCTAGTCTCTTTGTGTCAAACCAACAGGGAGGACAACGAACAAGGTTTTAGAAAAAGCAAGTCGTTTATTTTATTCCGTGTACGCGACTTTATGATAAAGAAGGTTATAGATGGGACCAATCAGCTTGTGTCCTCATGCGCCTATCGGCCCGATTGTAAAGCTGGCCGCCTCCGTCCTGTTCGTCTCCTTTGACCTCAGCTCCTTCACGCGCGACTGTCCGCGAGCACCTTTGTCTGCATGTAGACTAATAACGTAATTTGGGAGCTGACTAAGTCCTCTCTTCAGGAATAATCCTAATATTTCTCACAACAATGAACTATGCGCAGATTTACGGCTAGTATAGCAGAAATAATTTAAGTTGATCTCTACCGAAGCACGGATCTCGGCTTAAATTATAATTCATCTTGATATTTGTGCACGGCTGAGGTGAAGCACAGAAGCTCAAAAGATTATGAGTTTTGTGTCTGACACTAGAAAGAGGGGTGCTGGGCAATAAACTCCGACGCATGCATTTGATAATTATCCAGAGGCTTCCTAAATTAGTATCTAGAACTGATTACTCAGTGGTCAGAGGGGAAGCATATGTTCCCTTTATGTATGGTGAGTCGCTTTTAACTACCGACAGCCGTCTCTGAAGGGCAAAACCACATTATCGCATAATCAGGTTTGTCCACGGCGCTGAAAACATCCGCCCGTACACCATTCATTATGCTGAAAGTAATACAGATAAAAAGAAGCAGAGGAACCGTAAGATGCATATTAAGACACTGTATGATGCGACCATGGAACATACCCTACAGGACATAGAACCAGATCTCCGCACCCTAAACTCAGTCAGTCCTACATGTTTTATGCCAACAATGATACACCTTACACTACTACATTATGCTGTCCGTGGTCCTGTCATTTGTATTCCTTCTGGTATCCCGAGACGCCATATATTATGATTCCATTTGCATCTGCTAATGAAATGGGACTGTAGCTGAGAAAGGGAAAATAATTGTAACATTTCAAATAAACACACACGTGAGGCAGAGGAGATGGAATCCTCAACAATGGCAACGGAAATCAGTTAAGCTGTTTTTTGTATGCCTTCGAGGTTTCCTCGTGGAATATACTGATCATGACTGCCAACGCGTATAAATACTGTGACGCGTGGTACGTTTGCCACCGCTGATGCCTGTACGCTTTTGAAACGTCAGGACGATAAAACAATGGTTCTCGAGAACGCTTTATATTCTCATATATATATATATATATATATATATATATATATATATTAATAATAT